AAATGTAAAATGAGAAAATATTATACTCACTAATAATACATAATTTTCAAAGCATTTGTTGCAACTTGTGTCAGATGCTATAATTATTTATTTTAATTCAATACGACTGAACTTAAAATGTCACTTCTGCGCATAAGTTAGGGCCGAGAACATGCAAACACGTGATTGACAATGTGATGCGAAATGGACATATGTTGGAATTCCGGTGTGTAGTTTTGTTTAAAGTGGAATGTGATTTCTGAGAGGAATTCAGTAGTTACAGCTGAAAGGCATTATTTAAGTGAAAGTCAAAAATGGAGAAGAATGGCAGAATCGAAGGAGATCAATCATAAATGGAGCTCGCCCAAGATCTAAATAACCCTCAAAGCTGCATATGAAGAGTTTGTAACCGTTTTGTAAGTACTGGACTGGTACAGGGTGACTAAGAGCAACAACTGCATTATAAGGCCGTTTTCTGTCGGTGTCGGCTTGAAGAAACCGCAAAGCGACTACAAGAGATTTGGTTTATCACGTCCAGGCTGCCATAGAAACTCGAATTAGCCTTTGTGGTGATGCACGAAGGCTTAAAGACATTAGATTGTATGCTAGAAAAAACAATGGTTTGTGTCTCGCTCGCACCACCTTCCAGAAGAGCCTGTGTAAACTCTTTTCATCGTCATATTCAGTGGAGCCAAGATGCTTGAGCCTGAGAATCGTCAGAGACGAGCCGAGATATAATCTGAACAATGATTCTAGACGTGTTTTGATCTGGAGTTCGGACTCACAAACTGTATTGCCTTGTCAGTGAAATAGCCTGTCTCCGCGACCACGCTTTAAAGCAAAGAACGTCTATGTATAAAATACATATTCTTTGCTTTAAAGATTTGGGGAAAAAGAATGACAAATGGCTGCAGTGAACTGCATATCTTTCAAGGACGTCTTGTAACCCCACGGAGGTTTGCGGACGAGAAACTGGAAGTCCAAGTTAGACTGTTTAGGGGTGCTATTGTCCCAGAGTTTTCGTTAATGAATGACAATGCTTGGCCTCATCGGGCGTATGTGGTGTCCAAATACATGCAAACAGAAGATATTACTCAAATGGATTGGCCACCGTACTCAACTGACTTGACCTGATTGCGCATGTGTGAGATGCCTTAGGGTACCCATTATCAGCAGGCCAAATTCCTCCTCAGACCCTCTAGGAGCCAAGTTCGCTTTTAGAAGAGTGGTGTGCAATTTTACAAAACTTGATCAACTAGTCTATGAAATAAAGATGTAAAAGTTATTGTGCTGAAAGCATATCTGTCTGAGGTGACCATACACCATATTAAAAATATTTTTTTCACAACAGATGACTTAATTTTTCCATCATTTTCCAATTTCCGTAAATCTGATTTTAATTTCAATACTTTGCGAATAATGAACTGCCGAACATTGTAATTTATGTAAGCTAATGCAATTATATAGATTTATATTAATAATTAAGTATCAGTTACGCTTTATTTATCACTTTCCTTTACTTTTGATGACCAATGTACATTTTCAAGTGTATATCAAAGCTGAGACTTGTTGCCATTCCACCATCCTTACAGTCTAACATATCTATCAGTGTAAGAAAGTAAAAGATTTTAAAATACCATAAATGCTGCTTAAAAATTTTCATCTTTATTTTTTATTAATACATGTCATTTATAATTTAGTTGCACATGTAATAATAATTGCAGCAGCAGTATGGCTATTAACAAGTATGCCAAATGCTATGTATTACATAATTCAGCCACTGAACAAGGCATCCGGTAAAATGTTTGCCATATTGCTGCTCATTTCTGGGGTAAATATTTAAAAAGGAAAATAATCAAAGTAATTTTTGTAAATTTTTATAGGTAGTTTGTTGAGAAATAAGGAATTGAAATTTTATTTTCTATCATGAGGAATGTCTAAACATCCTCCAATATTTTTCCTATCTTAAAATTGAAAACATTAAGGAATTATATAATAAAACAATTATTCTAGTATGAAAATTTGCAGCCTTCTTGGAAATGAAAAGGGCAAAATTTTTTCCCCACAAAGTTAAGAAGATGGAAATAATCCGAATTCATAAATACTTACTGCTATGGACTGTTAATGACATTTATTGACGAAATCATAAATAATAAACTGCTGTTTTCTCTTTTTCTCCTTTTTTATACTCGCAGCTACAGCATAAAATCTTTTGATTTGCTCTTGGATGCGATTTTATTCTGTGAGACATAAGAGAATTCCTTATTTTGTTTCCTTTAACGTTTCAGGACGGTAGATGATAAAGGCAGCAGATGCATTAAAAAGCATTTATGCTTTTGAAAATCATTAAGGGACAGTAGTATTCTGAATTAACTTCCGAAAGATGAAGGCATTTTATGGAGAATATTACAAATAAAACTATTTCAAATTTTAAAACGGCGAAATTGTTTCCAGCTTATTCATTTAAAATGTCTGATTATGTTAAAATTACCAATTTTGGCGGAAAAATATATTTTTCCATTACTTTATTAAATACAGCATATAAGTAGATTTTCATATTGAAAGCTTATTTTAAGTTTTTTCATACGTTAATCAAAAACATTAATTAACTAACATTAATGAAAAATAAGGTATTAAAAATTTTAAGAATGCTGCCAGGCCTATAAATGTGGGCCTATAAATCACGGGAATTTGCTGTTTAGAATACTGTAAAAAATATGTCAGAAATTAATATTTTGTTTTAAAAAAAGTTCCGAAAATACAATTTCAAGAAATTATTCAGATAACAATTACACATTAAGAAATATCTGACAGCTTATATCCATTATAGTAACCTTGGACTGGCATCGGGACACTATATATTTTACCTATTTTGTTCTAGTTAGAACTTTGGTGGAGTTGAATGTGTACACAGAAATTTAACTTCTAACCAATTTACTCAGTTATTTAATAGTTTTATGGAGTCATTTAGAATTCTTTGATGTCAGAGTGAAGAAATAAGCAATACCGTCTACGAGATTCGAGCTCAAGACTTCCAGAATATCTGCCCTGCGTGCTGTATCGCGAAGGCTTGCGGAAATGATGGAGAAAATTACCTTATAGAAAATTACCTTATTACCTTATTACCTTATAAATTACCTTATAGATGTTGTTGCTGGTGTTACCAATCTAACTTTCTAATTTGTCTGATAATAAGCAGCCTATGTTCACGACATTTGTTGTGTTACAAATTCAAATGCGCCTGTCGTTGGCAAGAGCCTTGAGCACCACACAGGTGACAACCCGACTTTACTCAGTTCCGGAAACAATTTTGTAAGACAGCACCCCGAGCGGGACGCGTTAGAGGGTTTCCTAAACTTCGACTGCTACCATCCACCTCTCGAGTGCCTTTGCGGCTAGTAGCATATTTAGAGTGCCTCCATGCCACACAGACACTATACATTTGCAATCATCCATGCTTTATCCGGGATTCGAACTCGTGTCTTTCGGTGCGGAAGTCAGAATCACTAACCACGCTCTCCGTTGGGCGATTGTATCTTATAGTTTAATGGTTAAAGTAGCTTATGTTTTAATAATTAGTATTTACTTTGTGTAAGTGAAACGCATGTGTAACGAGAATAACAGCTGAAATTTTACTCCCGTGTTAAGTTCCTGCATCCCCCGGTCCGAAAAGATATATCGTTTCGCAAATTGTGCCACTAACAAAAATGATTCTGCTGATAAAGCTGTTGCTACAGTGAGGGTGTTAATGCTTTAAATATTCTTGAAGCAATTAATTTTCCTGAAAGCACACATCAGAACAAGTTTTAACTACAATATTTTTGCTGATGTAATGGTTTACATTGTTTAACGCGCTTTCACTAGTTTTGTGAATCTGGTGCAAGGAACAAACAAAACTAACAAAATGCATATTATAAGTATATCATTCTCGTTTCTGGGCAAACTGGGAGGGATTATCCGAACGGGAATGTAAATCATTTAATCATTTAATCTAAACACATAGCAGATTCAGAATATTTCATGCGCAAAAATGAATGATGCTACCTTAAAATTTTTACTGACGCAGTTAATAACTAGGCTAAATGAGATAGTAGTTTCAAAACGGCACCTTTGGTTGAATTGCTATAAATAGCGTATTTCTTTTAAAACTAATACCACCAAATCTTATCACCCTGTATTATATTTAAAGAAATTAAATACAGAAGAATCTGCATGAATGTAAGTATGTTTCTAGCATAGTGAAAACCAACGGTACCTAGCGCCATCAGTTTCTGAACAACGTAGACCTCCACCCGAATTTGGGGTCCTGTAATCCCAAATTTCGAATTTGGTTTATTATTTCTTTTGTATTTTATGAAATTGTAACGCATTTTTGATTAACAAACTCAACGATTTCAAAGCGAGCAATGGCAACCTTGCGCGGAAAAGAAAACATGTTTGTCTTCAGTACGCCAGGCTGTCTAACGAAAAATGTAAAGGTACGTTGTTTTGAAATATTTTGTGATTTTGGCGTTGAAACGAATTTTATGTGGCGTAAGGGTCAAGAACGTGATATTTAATAAATAAAGTAAACCCACAAATCCTTAATAACAGAAAAACAAAACATGTTTTATGAAGCCCTCTTATTTTTTTAAGAAAGCCGAAGAAAGCCGAATATTTATATCATGAACTGAGACAAAACTGAAAAAAAAAAAAAAAGAGAAAAATGTATGCCAACACTTAACGCGGCATCCGTAATTCTAACGCTGTGCCACATTTAATTTTTTTGTAATATTGCTGTTGAATTCTATATGAAGTAAGTGCGAACGAAATGGTGGTTAATAATAATAAAGCTGAAAAGACAAAAAAAAAATGTTTTAATAGAAGCAAGTGTAACAGCAGATTGGTAGACTGCGAGCTCAGTGAGAGCGTATAAAATGTTAACAAACCCTTTTAGATGCAGTTAAAATCTCAAACCTTTCAGATTTGTTTTCTTTTTTTTTTGCCTATTTCTATTCTTAAAATTTTAATGACTACTTTAATGTTCAGTGATGCAGTTGTTTGATTAGGACGATCACAAATATTTCGTCATTATTCATTTTTTCATGTTTTCCATATGTATAACTGTCAGTATAAAATTGATACTTTTAGGTACATGCTTCGAGAGCAAATGCTAAATTCTGGACATCTTTCTGAACTAACAATTCATGTGGTAGAACGCCAAGATAATGGACTGTACACGTGTGTAGCTTCAAATGCCTTTGGACAAGATGAAAAGAATAATCAGTTAACTGTGCAAGGTAAGAAAATTTTCAAATACAAAAATTTGAATTCTTTGTATTGTAAGTAATAAAATGATAAATGTTGCTTAAAAAATTGCATATCTTCGCATGCTCAGGAAAGTTTGGTAGTCTCTATACATTTAAATTTTAACGCAAGGTAAATAATTTTTATTCCATTTACTAATTAACAATCCATTTAAAATATTTACTATTTATTTATAATTATTTTTTGGAAAATTAATCACAAGTTAAAGAAGGAAAAGCATAATAAAAGAGATTTTTAAAGTATATATTTTCTCAGTATTTTTACAGTATAATATATGTGTTCTTGTAGCGTCTGGCATAATAATTCGTTATTTCTAAGCCTCATTACTTACCGAACACGAATAGAGTACAACTATGGAATTTCTGATGTATGAAAATATGGGGCACATGAACTTTGGGTCATTGTAGTTCCCCGATGACCATCTTGGACATTCAGTATTCAATCTATATCTCTTAGACGTGACTTATGGCGGCTGTTATTCGTCTTCGTATCTAATTTCTTAAACTTATTTCCTTACTTACCATTATTTAAAACATGTTGATCTGACCTACGTATTTCATATTACCTTAGATCGAACTCTCAAATCAGTGTAGTAGTTTTCGTGACCGAAAATTAATTTAAAATTCGAGAACATTTTGAGGCATTTCTTTAATTTTGAACTGTAAAGCATATTTTATTTTTAATTCTTGCATAACGATATACATCAATAATAATCACTGTGGAACTCGTGATGTTAAACAGAAACATATATAATCGGTTTCTATTAAGACCCATTAGATCCATGAACAACTTTCATGTAAGATATGATAAAAATGGAAAGTCTATGGATTGTTATAAAATTGATTTATGCGATAAACGTTACATTAATTAGTTTTGCCAGTAAAATCAGAGAACCTCATTTACATCTGCAAATTTTCTAATATAAATTTAATGTTTTTATGGTATATTTATTTATGTAAATATGTATTATTGTATGGTATTACTATATATTTTATGGTATATTTATTATGATATATAATTATATATATATATACATATATATATATATATATATCTATATAGATATATATATATATAATTTAAGCACAGAGAGCTGTTTTTTGAAACGAAACATAAAGTTTATGGCATGTAATTTTATCTCAGAGTGAAGCCGAAAAGGGACAGTTTGCAAAATGCCATTTATAACTAATATATGCTTCTAAATTAAGTAAAATCTTTTTTTATTATACCAATGTTCCATTATAACGTAAATTTAATGCATAAGATCACATCTGAATTATAATACAACTGCGCTTTAACCGAAATCTATGTATGTTCCTTAATAGTCGTAGAACGCTTACAGTTTCCCATTACTGAGCCAGTAATGGAAACGTTGCCACTCTCGGAATAACAAAAGGAAAATAAAAGTGAAATGATGCAAACAACAACATCAGGTTATTTTTAAAGCAAGAGAGAGGAAAATTAGCAACGCCGTCACCAGAATCGAACCATGGACCTCTGGAATACGCGCCTAGCGTGCAGACCACAAAACTACGAAAGCGTGCCAAGAAGGCGGGAAAAATACCTTATATACTCTCCCTTTTAAAGGGCGACTGAGCTTTTTAGAGGACCCAGTCGCCAAATCCTGGGTGGGGAGAAACATCATCCACCACCTTTTCAGTTCGGGCGCCAGTATAGAGACATTAGGTGTTTTTGGAAGCAAGAGTCTTGAAAGTATTTTTTGGAAGCCTTCCCCGGGAATCGAACCACAGACCTTTGGAATACGCGCCCAACGTGCAAACCACTACACAACGAAGTCATGCTAAGAATGCTGGAGAAATGCCTTAAAGACTAATGAAAATAACTCATTAACTATGAGAACTAAAACTTTATATGTAGAAATTATTTATTTACACCAGAGACATCTGATATATTTTGTTGTCCTTCAGTATGGTCACCAGCGTTTTATACATCTGCCAGCGATACATCTGATATATTTTGTTGTCCTTCAGTATGGTCACCAGCGTTTTATACATCTGCCAGCGATGTAGGAGTCCTTCTATACCAGTAGCAACGTGCGCTCTAAAGGCCGTTTCCACTGGGGTTTATCTCAGCTAACGGACACAGCTGACGTAGCTGACTTATCTCCAAAACCAGTTTTCTCCATAGATTAGCAAGTTCAAAAATCTGAATTTCAGGCACAGCAGAGCTAGTCGGCATATGGAACTGACTCTTTTAGCTCAGATACACCCAAGTGGAAACGGCCTTTTAGGTTCGAATGGAACAGTCACATTGTTTCGTCTCTGGGAGAGTTTGGAAATTGGAAACGTTTCGTCTGTGGAAGAGTAAGTTGGAAACATTTGTCACGAGTGGTTTCTATATCTAAGGAATAAAATCGCAATCACAATGGCTAAAATCCGGGAAATGCTGAATGGTAATCAACTTCTCAGCTCCGTCGAGGGAACGAATCATCCACAGGTTAGGCTGCATATACCTGAGCACTGTGCTGTGAAATGGTGAGAAAATTTGTCAAAATGTGTTGTAGCTTCCTTTGCAATGCAAGTGATAGGTCGAAATTTTTCGATGTGCACAGGTTAAATATAATATTGTACATTAACGGACTCCTTGAGTTACGATGTTGGATAGGATGACATCATAGTCATACTTGAGTATAACCGTAAACTCCATATAAATGAGGTTGTGTTGAATTTTGTATTTGAGGTGGATACCGTAACAAGTGCCATTTGTTGGATTGGCGTCAAGATTTGGCTTTGTTTGCTCTTCACCCCATCAGATCCATTCTAATAACACGGGGTAAAGAAATGATTGCTTTCAGATGCTAGTTCTGGAATTATATTATGAACAGCATCTTATCGTTAACAACTTCTGCATTTCCGAAAGTTTATTTCTATTTCTCTAGTATTCTAAACCATAAACCCATACGGGATTTCTTCTATTAATGGGACATGCACGTAGTTTTGGAACATATACCTTTATACCTTTTATTTTGAGGCACCTTAGATATCAAACTAACGGATGGCATACATGAAAAGCTTTAGTTTTGTTTCGCTACGTATATATAGAAGGGTTGCTATTATGTGCGTTCCCATCCACCTAATATTAGGTATCTACAAGCATAATTTTCAAGCATACTTTCAAGTATACAATAATAGACAGAATATCATGCATAATATTAGAAGTAAGGTATCCCAGCATAAATTTATCCATAATATTTACATAATATTTACACTTTTTTCTTCTAAAGCCGTTACGATAAGCATTTATTTTACTGCAGATGAAGGTACAGAGTTATTTGATTTCCAAGAAATTTCTTTTCTATCTTACGAGTTCGACTTGTTTACTGAAGTATGGATGTTTATTTTGGTGCACCAGTTTCGCAAAATGTGCATATTCTAATTTTAATCATAATAATTATTCATTATAATTCATGGAAAAGTTAATTTTATTAAGCTAATTTAGTAAAGCATAGCTAAATAATAATATAAATTAAATAATTTTAATACTTATTTTTAAATGTGATTTTAATTTCGTATGAAATATTAAACGCGTTAAGTTCTTTTTAAAAATTTCAAAAATTTTTAGATGATTTTGATTACTTTGCATAATTTTAAATCCAAAATCTAAAAATGCTAATTTGTCTACTTTAGAATATTCTTTTAACTAAATAATGAATTTCTTCTAGCAATGATTTACATAAATAAAAAGAATGTCAAATGTTATTTTCATATACTTGTAAATATGCAGCACGGAAATGCATAAAGTATTTCACCTTCATTCACCTTTTTTTTACTTTGATAAATAGGTTTAAAATACGTTTTCGCAGGAAACATATGCTAGTTAATTTAACAGAGATTTTTTATCCTTTATTGATTTTGTGCGTTAAACTATGAAATTTTAATTTTCTCGTATTTTGAATGCTTCGCAGAAAAGCAAAAAAATGCCTTTAACTTTGTTTATAGCTTTTCCTAAGAATAACGAAGTACCTGCTTTCGGTAAAATTCATTTGTCTTGACAATACAAAAATTGATTTAGTAAAGTAGACGCCCAATAGAGTTTTTCTCCTTTCCTGTAGAATTGTATGTGGCTGAAAACGAAATCCAATATATTTTACTCTAGAGTCACTGCTCTTCAAGACTGTTAACAACCGTACAACCATTAGGGAAGACTTAATTTTATTTTATACATTCTTCAGATCAATATTTTATTCAGCTGTAGAGATACATTCAAAAATGTTCCTTTGAACTATAACTCAATGTACTTCACTGCATGTTCTGTTTCGTTTATTAAATTAATTTTGATGTTATTTATTTCGTTGTAAAGCATCAAAATATCAAATGTACGTATATTTTATGAAAGGATTTTCTTATTATTATGTTTTGAAAAGTTTTAAAATTTTTTCAGTTGGTTTGCCGTAAAATCAAATTTTAATGTAATTTTCTGAAAGATTTATTTAAATTACATTTATTTTATATTGTTTAATTTAAAAATGGTTTTTACCATGTGTTCGAACAGGTACGTGTCTTAAGTATAAGTCTACTTAACAACAGTAGTCTACATGGTATAAGTCTTAGGTGTTGGGCGTTTTTCACTGAGTAGTTTTGCGCAATTTCTGCATTTTCGTATGCGCAAAATGCCTTAATCTTCTCCAAAATCCATCATATATATATAAAAAAACAGGAACAGGGTTTTAACTCAGAATGTATAGCTCAAAACGCTTTTAGCATAATATAGTGCCTCCCAAACTTTAAATCTCGCAATCCAATGTAATTTCTCCAGCTTCCTGCTTCCCTCCTCTCCGGAAAAGGAGCGAAGAAATAATTTTAGAATGTTATAATATAATGCTGAAATAGTAATAATTAAATTATTTAATGATAAAAATAAAAGTTTTAATAATAATAATTGATAATGCTAATTATTTAATAGTAATTTAATAATGTTAATAATTTAATAAAAATGTTACTAATTTAATAATAATAATGACAATTAAATATATATATATATATATACAGTTATTAACAACTAATTAATATTTTTATGTAACTAACAAGAAATATTTATACTTCAATAACAAAAAGGGGAATCTTACTCACCAAATTTTGTCTACAAACAACTCATTTATGGGCTGATTACACTTCTGGAACAACTCATTTTATGTATAATATGTGTAAACATTAATGGAAATTAAAATAAAATAATTAGAATATTTCAGATAATTTTATAGTGTTTAACGTCAACAATAGCGTTGTTACAGATGAGAACAAACAATATACATGATTTTTATTAAACTGCTAAATACATTTTAATTGCAATCGCTAATTTATTAGCGTTTAATTTATTAGCGCTAATTTATTAGCTAATTTATTATCGTAATTTATTAGCGCTAATTTATTAAATATTGCTCTTACATTAACATTTAAATACGTGCATACTCGTTTTGGTATGCATAAGTATGACAATGTGTATATTGCATGATTGAGTTATTTCATGCAATGTTTATATCCATACAAATTTTGCAAAATAGATAATGAATAATTTGCTGAAATTTTAAGTACCTCAATCTGAAAATATTATGACTTTGTTAAAATGAAGCTTGCACAACTTAAATTTTCTGCACGTTCCCTAGTTTAACTTCCGTGTAATTGCAAAATGTCTCAAATTTTGACAATAAAATGTTTGTAGCTTTATATATATTAAAAATAGATTCTAGAATTATCACGATTCTAAAAGTTTCCTCAATCACACACTTGTTAAACATCTGTTAACTTTCGGCTTCTTGTAAACTTTTGAAACACGAACGCATCTTTAATCTTTTCTCTTGAGAAAAGATTTTACCTCTTTAAAAAAGCATTTAACGAGCTTCTAAGATATCCGCTATGCACGTAAACTCCATTTAAGTTCTCACATTGCTACGTTTTTGACAAAGCGAAAAGAAACAAAATTTGCTTTTAACTGAGTTCCAAGCTGCATAGCTATTTAAAGGACACATTAAAAGTTGGAACTCTTCCAACCCGCCTATTTTGAAGAAGCTATAAATCATACGTTTAATTAGAGTTTCTACTTAAATCATTTATAAAGTTGCTATTAAATTTTCTTTAGCATGAATTTTGATGTATCATTTATTTAGAACGTCCAGATCCACCGGCCAATTTGGAAGCTATACATACTAGCGGGAGAAAAGTTGTTCTACGGTGGAGCAAACCTTTTACTGGAAACAGCCCAATTGTGAAATATGTTTTAGAATATGTTGACGGAAAAGGTAAATTTATATTTACTAAAATTTAGATTTTGTAAATATTAATAAAAAAAATAAAAAATTGAATAATCACGGAAATTAATTTTTATATTTTGGGATTTCAATGGCATATTTAAAAACCCACTTTTGTAAATGGTCAATATTTATTCATTTTACCAATTTTATACATGAACAGCAAATCGATTCAGTTTTTAATTATTTTGTGCCCAGATGATATTAAAATAAAAATAATGCATTCCAAAAAAAGTTATTTATGAATACTTTATCATATAATAACTGTTACGTGCACTGTCGCAAGGTAATATACATTTTCCTACTTCGCGACTTGTTTTTTTAACACACTGTGGCATAATAATTATAAATATATGACGTGCAGATAAAAAAATCTTTCAAGTTATTACTAAATATGTTTTTCTAAATAAAGTTAAAAAAAAAGTTTTTTCTAAATATGTTCAAAATTAGGTAGCTGTGTTAAGTTTTTATGTTTTCCAAAAATTGACTTTTTTTTTTTTTTTTTTTTTAGAAAATAATAGAATATATTCACCATATATGTTTTGCCTCAATACAGCAAGGGGGGATTTTGCAAAATAGATAATGAACTCTGCTGAAATTTAATTGCCTCAATCTGAACATATTATGAGTTTATTAAAATGAAGCTTGCACAAACTTAAATTTTCTGCACGTTCCCTAGTTTAACTTCCGTGTAATTGCAAAATGTCTCAAACTGCGATAATAAAATGTTTGTAGCTTTATATATATTAAAAAATAGATTCTAGGATTATCAGGAGAGAGAAAAAAGAAAGGGAAAGGTCTTCCATAATGTTTGAAACTCCTATGAATATTGAGTCTTGTAAAACCAAAACCGCCGCATTTCGAGCACTTTATTTGTGGTGTCATAGAAAGTATTTTTGTCTTTGTTTAAAAAAAAAAAAAAAAGGAGTTTTACGAAATTGTTATCTTCATTGAGAGTTTTTGCACACTGCATTTGTGGAAATAATATTGATAAAAATTTAAAACTCTTTAGTTCATCGTCTGTAGTGGAGCACAAATGTGCCAGGAGATTATTTTGGAAATGCTTCCATATATTGTGCTTCACCAAATGCGAAATAAATCATCCGTAAAAATTTTTAGACTCTTATTGACTTGAAGGACATATTGAAGTTGAAGGACATATTGCCGATACTGTATTGAAATGGTTCAGTTAAAATAACAGCAAACAATCAAACTATATTTAACGTCTTTATGATTATTTTTAATATAAGTGCGATATTTAACCATCATGTATATTAATATAAGTAATAATATCCTTAAAAATATCATAGAACTTCTTTAATATTTCCTGCATAATCCTTTTCGAACCTTTTTGAGTAGCATACCTGGTTTAACATTGTACATCTTTCTGAAATTCACGAGAATTCATCAATAGCTGTTACGATAATTTCAGATTTTGATGTTTACTACAATTCCGTGTGAAAACAGTAAAATATTTTACTAGAATAAATGTTTATGCAATTTCTAACATATATTATATATATATATATATATATATATACACATTTTTAAGTTATATATATTTGGGCTGTAAGATATAAAATATGGAAGAAAATTTAGCAATAATCATTATCCTTTAATTCCTTATTTTAATTTGGCTACTTCCTCTTCCTGGCTTAAAACTGCTAAGTACGTCATCTGAAAATTTATCCATTTTGTGCTTCTTTATTTATAATAGATTTTTTTAATAAATTCAAGAAGTTAGTTTTATTACTATAGAATGAAGTTTACAACTAAATTTTGTTTAAGAAATTTTTAATATGGTCTAATAATTGGAACTCTGGAGATGTATTTTACCATTTGGGAGATAGACGCAAGTTTCAGATTTCACTGGCACCATTTTAGGAATGTTCTCTTCACCAAAATCTCAGGTAAAGATTTGAACTCACGACAGTAAAGTGGCCACAATAACACTTTGATTTAATATGAACAGTTTCAGCTATCATGAAAATTTAGGGCAGAATTTAGAGTGCTGATTCACCCAAACACCTCCTCGAATAATTGTCCTTCTCACTGCCACTTCGGGGGAATATCCTTCCCCCAATTCTCCCACTATCCTCCTGATCTCTCTCACACAAGTAGGTACAGGGACGAAATGGGAGTAGTCCCCAAATCTATCTGCATTTTCATTCCTTAAAGCATTAGTTTATATCTCTTATGTCTATTTTCAGATATGTAGCTTATATTAATTTCTACAATTATTAGTGAATTAAAGTTTAGTTTAATTTGAAATCCAGAATTATTAAACCGTATTTCGACTCATTCCTGAGCAATAAAATTTTATTTAGAGTTTTACACCCATGTTGTAATTTAGTGCATGCATTTAGATTAAATGTAAAAGAGTAAATATGTATTGCTTTCAAGCAGGTAGAACACGCTCTGATTTAACCCCCCCCCCACACACACATTTCTTAAAATACCTTCCTTTATTTCTACCTAACTTGAATAATTTTCTGCAAATATGGAAATTTACAGTCTGCCTGGGGAATTAAAACGAAGCTGATAGGAAAGTAAATTAACATAAAATAACTGATTAAAAACTTAAATGATGCTTCAAAAACCTTTAATAACTTTGGATTATTCGGATTAATTGCTAAAAAATTGAAGAAAATGTTAAAGTAATTCAGATTGTGCTATCAACATATTGTCCTTTTAACAACGTATTAAATTGTCAGCAGTTTCGTGGATTCCATTAACCTGAAAAATGTACATGACTACCAAATTTACTTGAAAACATCCTATTTTATATACAACGGTGCACGGAATAATAAAAGCTGATATATTAATGCGTTAGTCATGCTCCAAGAATTCAGAATGTACTTTTGTTTATCAAAATGATGCAGTTCTCTCAAATTTCGTTAACAATACCTTTCTTGAGTTGTATCTAAAAATATTCTTTGAAATATACAACTTGAAAAATAAATTAAAATGATATAAATACTTTCAGTACTTGACTAAAATACAAACTAAGTTGCGCATTTCTATTTAAGAATGAAATGCTTTTGTTTTCAACCTTTCATCCCAAATAAGCCCTTTCATTCCTTTAATGGCGTTTACTTTTGTACCAACAGAACGAAAATTCAAGGAATTCCGATTTATATGTACCTGAGAAAATTTCCTGCACTTATGATAGTTTCTTTATTTATAAATTTTATTTAATTTATAATTGCGAAAAAAAGAAATAAAGTAAATTTCAAAACTCACACCTTGTAAGACATTTTTACACATATATAGATTTTATAAAACATGTTACAAGCTTTTGTAGAATTTAAGAAGTTGGAAAAGTGAAGTCATATTAATTATAATAAGAAAAGTACGTTCTTATTAATCTTTCTAAGGGTTTCAGATAGAGAAATGCATTTTTTATATCTGAACATGAATAACATTTGTAGAAGAGGTCTAATCAAAATTATTCTTGCTGTTATACACTGACATGTTGGTGCTATATGTTACAAATGTGTCAATGCAACAAACGCATTTTTACATGCGCCCTAATGTAGACCCAAAGATGTGCCTCAAATTATTACACAAATCACCAAGAGGTGTCTTAATCACCAAGAGGCACCAAGATATGCCTCTAAAGAAAATATAGAGGCTCTTGTCTCATAATAGAAGAAAATGCTGAAAAGGAAACCCAAATACATTCTCAAAAGAAAAAAAAAGCTCTTAAAATTCTCTAGATTTTCAGTGTGATGGGTCACAAAATGTCTTAAGCACCGTCTGTACGACGAAACATGTCTTCGAGTCTTCTTCATAGACATGTCACCTGACAGTGTTTTGTTTATAGGGTGATTTTGTATCTAAATTGCTTTGAAATAGTAAGTCAATTAGATCAGTCAAAGCAGATGACTTGCTTTGTATCCAATAGGAGACCTCCAGTCATCTCCCAAGAAACATAATAATTTACGAAGTTTTCAACGCCTTTATTTTTTGGAGCTTAATTTTTTAAATAAGTCGTAGTAATAAATATATGTCTTAATAACAGACAGAAAGAAACAGTGATTAAAAATTAAAACTGCAAATTTGAAAAAAGTTAATGAAACTGGAAAAGAAACGCAATTAATTGTGAAACGTAATGTTATTAGCTTAATTTTTTAAATAAGTTGTAGTAATAAATATATGTCTTAATAGCAGACAGAAAGAAACAGTGATTAAAAATTAAAACTGCAAATTTGAAAAAAGTTAATGAAACTGGAAAGAAACGCAATTAATTGTGAAACGTAATGTACATCTACATGTATAGAGAATGGGAGAGACAGAGATAGGCATGTACCTAACACAACAGAGATATGTTCCCCCGAGTGGGTGGACTGGAACAGCCGCCACAACTTTCTGTTCGGAGATATGTTTCGTCATATAGACGAGCTTTTACGAAATAATCAGCGCTCAGAATTACTTATATGAAATTTTCACGGCACACAATCTTCGTGATCATAATGGCCTTATGATCATAATGGCCTTCGTGATCATAATGGTCTTCGTGATCATAATGGCAAAATTTGTATTCATATTGTTAGTATAAGTCACAAAATTATGGATTTTAAGATCAATGTAAATGACATCTTTTTGATGAACCACTGCCGAAAATGCACTAAAGAATTTGATTCTGTAGAGTTAGAAGTTTTCGAAGTTGTTCCGAGAGGCACTGCACCAAACATGAATCATTATTGTGTCGACCGCGAGGCTGATTCTCGGTTTACAGTCTATATCAAGAGGGATAATACGGAAGTCGGACGAAGTAATACGGTGTAATTGAAAGGGCACTCATTAGAGTAGATAAATTTGCCAGAGTAGATAAAAAGGCCAGAAGAACGACAATTCTTCTGGCTTTGCAGATGTCTTGTTTAACATACAAGAACAGGAGAACTTTCAGTACATTTTCACAATACGGTAGATGGAAGAATGAAATCTGGGAGTTATAGTTCTAAAAGCATAATTTATCTAAAAATAATGTGTTTCCTCTGCCCTTTGATGATCAGAACTTCAGACTTATTTTCATTAATAGCAAATCTTCAAAAAAAAGCGCCAGGATTTATTTTAGCGGATCTTGTACTTTAGCTAAAACTTGGTTTAGAGTCGCATATTAGATAATGTCTGCAGTATCATCTGCAGAACAAGCAGTCATATAATTGGAACATTCGTGGACGATTTAGAAGGTCATATACATATACCATTTATTGTATTGGTCCAAGAATGGATCCCTGGGGAACTCTATCCCCCATACAATTTTTATCAGAATAAGTAATTCCATATTTTACACAAAAATATCTTTCAGAGAAAAGAGAGTATATTTAAAATAACATAGCATTCAAAATCAAGTTGTTTTGGTTTGCATATCCAAACTTTATGCTAGACGCAATCAACATTTCTTTGTGCATGAAATTTAAAAATATGGAATAGATATATGAAAAATAAAAATATGAAAGTTGGATATAGAGTCACACTAATTTTTTTTTCTTTAGTACCTGAATATCGTATTCGTATCATGTACAGAAACTAATTCAGCTACACAGATTTAACTCAATCCCTTTACTATCTTGAAAGAAAACTAATGTAAATTGCATACTATTTATACACAGTAAATATGATTATTATCGGGTTTTATTATTAAATATTTAATGTTGTTTTTTGTATGCCCGTTTTTATTCGAAATATCTTTATTCACAGAAATGAAACTAAGAATCTGATCAACCATAATTAATGAAATTATCAGTGTAGTTGTCACGATTAGATACATTGTGGCAAGCTGCGAAATTTTCAAACACTTTTACGTTATTATTATATTATGTTTTTCAGTTTAATCTGAAACCCTTCCATAAGATTTCTTGTGCATCTATTATAAATATATTCCTACTATGTAATAAATAATAAATGATGTTTTTATGTTCGGAATTTCTTCATATATTTGAAGTAAATTAAACTTTTAAAGCTTAAAGTAGAAAAGTCATATTTATTTTCTTTAATCTTTTGAAATATGCAAATCAGTTCGAATTTCAATCTCATCTGCAAAGAGAAATGTCGGAAAAGAAAATTTTGCGGAGAGAATTAGTATTTTTTTTTTTTTGTTTCCAATTTATTACTTTTAGCCAGGGGCCAGGGAAAGCTCTGAAGGTGTCAATTTATTATAAATATCCCTTTTAAATTTATTCAAAAGCGGAGAAAACCTTTCTAGTAATGAAAAACAATTTTCTACATCGTTTCTTTTATCAATCTTAAATTAATTTTATTTTTCCCTATAAAGATGGATGGAACGGACGTATTAAGGAATTGTTCGCTGATGGTGACCAGCTTCAGATCAGCGTGGAAGATCTTCAACCTGTCACCCAGTACAGCTTTAGATTGGTCGCCGAGAATTCAGTAGGGCGTAGTCTTCCCAGCATTCCTCTGAATGTCATCACAGAAAGCGAAGGTACGAAGAAACCATTTCCTTCTCTTTTTTGAATTTTACGTTTTCCTCTATTCTTTGTTTCTCCTTTCATTTGACTTTTTTTTCGTTGTTTTGCGTTTTGAGCTTCTCAGTTTGTTTCTTAGCAATAAACAGGAAAGGAATGTTTTATTGTTTCCCTCAGGGGTGTGGCGGTAGAAGACAGGGGGTTCGGGATGTCCTTTTCAGAGTTTAATGAAATTGCTTTCCCGAGGGGAAAGGAAGCCTTCGACTCGTTTTTATTTTCTTTCTTGGTGTAAGACTTTTGTTCTTTGGTTACCTTAGTAATGTGGCCAATTTAAATCTAAATCTCAATGGTGGATACAATTCATTCTTTTATTTGATTTTCACTGAAAGGAAAAACACACTGCGATCAAATAAAAAATTAATTTTACTCGAAACCTTTGCCATCAGAAAATCTAATTTAATGCTTTTTAAACTTAAATAGACCTTGAAAAGTTAAAACAAAGCTTTACATTCATGTTTAAATCTAATTTTAGAATGCCGCAAGAACTTAAAGAAAACTAAAACCTAATTAAGATCTAATTATTGGCTATTTGATTTATGCAAAGAACTTTATTTTAACATTTTATAATGTTTGAGTTATAAGAACAAAGCTTCAATCTTTACATTAAGAAATACATTTTTAGCATAAATATGCTTGCATTTTTGTGTACGTTTTAACTTAGATATACCAGAACATTTAGGTGAAATGAAATTTTAGAGCTTCTAATTGAATTTTCGAAATGTTTTTAGGCCTTTCGGAAAGGCTGTTTTGCATTATTGTGTAGTTTACATTAATTATTAAATCGCTTAATATTTGATCAGTATAATTTACCTGTAGTCTTAACTTGAACTCTTACGACTTTTCTGTATCTTTCTAGTATTTTGTGTTGATTGTAAATGTATGATTGTAAATGCTTAGGCATTGATAATCATAGTTATGTTTCGCTTAACTTTACTGTATTACCTAACCTTACCTTATTAAATCAAATGTATTCAACTTCAGTTAACAAACAAAGGTATAAAAACTCAGCTAAAGATTTATTTGCCAAACTGTTGTGAATTAATGAGATACTATAGGTGGGGCTATCTCTTCCAAATGTATTCAAGTAAAAACTACTTCCTTTTGTCGTGTGAAATCAAATCATATTTAAGAGACTTATAGTTTAACTGCGATATTATTTTGTTAGTTAATTTTTTATTCTTTTTAATATTACTTCAATTGGTAATAGCTTTATAGCAGTTTAACTCAAAACATATTGATATTCTTGCATCAATGCAATTAAAATATTTCTGAAGAAATAAAAGTAAAGAAAAAACACAATTTTTGCTAATTTTTCCCAACATTATTTAATTAGTTTTTAAATATTTAAAATTTAATATAGGATATTTTGCACTTAAGAACTGAATAAAATCCGAAAGAAATTGGAATACGTCCTGAATTAAACGCAAAAGACTTTGAGATTCAGTATTCTAAATTCTAATTATGTATGAAATCAATAACATTCAAAATTTTAATCTTAAGTTCTTTTGCCCTCTAAATGAGAGCATGTGTATATTTTCAATGGTTTTGCAGTGTAGAGTAATTAAATTATATATTGCTATTTATAAATATACAATCTATTTAATATTATTGCTAAAATGTTTGTTATTATTACTTTTACAATTGTAGTGCACAGTAATTAGATTTCTTGAAACATGAGACATGAAAAATATGCAATGCCCTCATCAGGACTTAAACCCTTGATCTCTCGAATACTCAGAGAATATGCTTTGAATTAGACCAAGAAGGCATGCTTACACCTTAAGGGAGAAAGACGCATGACACATTAAAGAGGAAATACTCTTTTTTCTTTAATGCTTAAGGATGGAAATCTTATATACACCACCTTTTAAAGGGCGACTGAGGACTTAAGTACCAAATCACCAAATCCTTAGTTCGGGCGCTGCTTGGTGAGTCATTCGGTTATTATGAAGTAGGAGACGTGAAAAATGTGCATTGCCCTCACCGGGACTTGAAACGTGGACCTCTCGAATACGTGTCGAGTTTGCTTCCAGTTTCACCACGAAGGCATAGGAAAGAAGGAAGAAAATACCTTATAGTAGTGCACTTTGTTTCATTGAAAAGTTTAAACAAAAGTTTTCGTTCAATTTTAGCTTGAACTGCCACTCACAAACTCTATGAAACAAAGAAGCGCGTTTAAAAACTGACCAGCAGGCTTTTTCCTGGTATACTCTTGTTATGTTTCTTCTTATATATATATATTATAAAAATAAGAATATAATGTGCGGGCCGCTAAAACTCAGAAATGGGTCCCGGAACGATTAAGGGAGATATATGGTGTGTTAGTTCTATATGCCCCATCCATGAAGAAGGTTCCCGTTTTTACTTGAAGGGCGTGGTTTTGAACATATAAGGGCTGGACGTTTCGCTGTCTAGAAATTTCTAGAACTGTCCAGAACATTCAAAAGCATTCCACAACATTAAAGAACATTTCAAATCAATGTGCAACATTCCAGAGCACTCTCGAATGTTGGAAATGCTCTGGAACATTGTGGACCATTCGAAGCCTTTTTGTATGGTAGGGCTACCCGTTGGTAAATGTATGTGAAGCAAGATCCGTTGTGGGTTCCAAAGTCAGCTTCTTATCAGTTAAGTGCAGTGAGTGGAAAAAAAAAACAATGGAGGATCATCCAGTAATTATGAAATGCCAAGTATACACAGTAGCACTAGGCCGAGTATACACCGTACCACTAGGCCGAAAATACACCGTACATCCGAACAACACCGATTGTTTCTAGCTTTGGATGTTGCTACGCTAAATACGGGGACCAACAAGTTTCACAGATATCATGACTATTGACGATTATCTACGCCAGATTTACAGAGAAGCATGCCAAAGCTTAGGACTACTGGAAAACGACAACCACTGGGAATTAACACTACAAACCAATCTCACTCACAGCGTCAGCTGAACAAACCAGAGACTTATTCACCATAATTCTAACAACATGTAACTCATCGAATCCAAAACAGCTATGAAACATTTTCGAAGAGGGTATGAGTAATGACATACTGTACTAAATACGACAAGCTCTTCCAGAACTGGCTATCCAATTCAGCAACGATATCTTCAATGAAGCACTCATTCGCGTAGAAGATAAATATTTAGCAATAAAAAAACAACCATACCTTAGTAAAACTTGGGATGCCAGCACCATGACAAGATGGTTTTAGTGTGCTAAAATTCGAAATTACGAAAGAAAAATGCTATAACACAAACGAGCTACTCCAGTACATTGCTCACAAGAAACCACTCCTCAATGACAATAACAAAATGTACAATGTTATCATGGATTGGATCAAAAATAACACTGTCTGAATTATTTACTTGGACGCACCAGGCGACACCGGAAAACGTTTCTAATAAATCTATTGCTGGTAGAAATGCGTGCTAAACGGTACATCGCACTCGCAATGGTATAGTTCGGCATTGCCGCCAGATTTATGGAAGGAGGACAAACTGTCCATTTCACCCTACAACCATTATTGAATATACAGAAGAACAAGTCTCGGTATGTCAAATGTCAAGGGCATCTGGACGGAATTAATAACAATTTCGTCCAGAACACTGTCCAGAACTGAACGGTCAGTAGTACGAAAAACAAATTAATTCTTAAACAATTTAATTTGAACTTCTAAAACAAGCTAAAATTGCCTTCTGGGACATGTAAAACGGCATATAAAGTCACTCGAAGAAATGAACAGGACATTATAAGACTTTCGAGGAAACTCTGAAGTAATGGAAGGAGATCTAGTCATACTCTCACGAGATTTCCAGTTATCCCAAGTCAACACCAACAGACGAAATCATTCATGATTGAAAAATTCACACCTCTGGCCACACATACAAATACTGCGACTAACAAAAAATATGAGAGTTGAACTATCGAAAGATGAAAAAATAGCACAATTTGTTCAAGACCTTTTACAGACAAGCAAATGCACCTATCCTACTGACTAGACGACCGGTCTCATTGAACTCAGCAGTGATTTATGAAGCATAGTCACTGCTGGAAATGAACTCATCGACCAAATTTATCCAAGCATTGTTCATAACTATCCTATTCCTTAGTTGCTATTTCAAAGGGGAGTTTTGGCAGTTAAAACTAATATTGTCGACAATATCAACTTTAATATTCAAAAGAAAATTCCCTCTGAAGAGAGACTATACAAATCGATTGACACAATGGGGAACGTTGAAGAAAGGGCTAACTTCCCTACAGAATTTTAAAACTCTTTGGAAGTACCAAAAATGCCATTACACTGCCTTCGACTGAAAATTGATTTTCCGATGAGACTACCCAGAAATCTTAACTCACAAAACTATATAATATAACAAGGATATTTGTCAAACAGCTGTCGAAAAAAATTACCGAAGCCGAACTTATGACTGGAAAGGACAAAGGAAACACGGTATATATCACCAGAATGTCACTGATATCTACTGAACTGCCATTCAAAATTAAACGAATACAGTTTCCAATCAAATTAGCCTATAGTTTGACAATTAAGAAAGCGCAAAGACAAACTTTAAAACATTGCAACATCAGCCTCAAACACTCCTGCTTTTCTTACCGTCAGCTATACGTAGCTTGCTCTCGAGTAAGAAATTCGAAAAATATGTACATATATACGTCGGATAACAAAATTAAAAGTGTTGTTTATCAACAAGTATTTTATACAGTTAGAATATGTTTTCGATAAAAATTTATTGCTTGCATTGTTAAAAAGCAACGGTACCTAGAGGCATCAAATTTTGAATAACGTAGTCTTCCAATGTAGTCCAATTTCGAATTTGTTTTACTACCTATTTCAAATTTTGTAAAACTTAAAGGAATTTTTAATTAACAAACTCAACAAGGAAGCAATGGCAACACTGTACGAAAAAAAAAATATTTTTATCTCTAGCGCGGGAGACTGTATATCGGAAATTCTAAAGAAAATCTGTTTTTACATATTTTGTGATATTGCTGTTGAATTGAATTTTATGTGGATTACGTGCGAAAACGTTAATATTTGATAAATAAAGGTAACACGCAAAAATTCAAAATAACGCTCTTTTGGGTGTAATATAAAATCTGAAAGCTTTCGGATTTCCATTTTTTTACATTTTTATGTTATATACATTATTTTTTAATTTGTTCCACCTTTATTTGTATATCTCTTGAAGTGTAAGACTGTATTCTGAAGTATTGAAATTATAATTTTTCATCCATTATTTGCTTTGAGTAATTGTTGTTTCTGTTGAATATTTTTTTTCTATTTTTCATATGCTCTAAACGCAGCGCATTTCTTCTTGATAAATGATATTCTTCAGCGTATTAAAAATAGTGTTTTCATAAATCCGTGTCTACGATAGTTCATTATTTCAAAGCTTATTAACAGTGAATTTCCTGTTATTAGTTACTTAAATGCACTGAAAATCTACATTATTGCTGCATATTATTATAATGTAGCTATCTTTTTATTGTTTTATTTTTATATTAGTGCCTTTCTGATTTGAGTAACTGCGACTTGTCATTTAGTTTGATCTTTAAATATTTGTAAGCATAAATATCGTTTTCATAACTAATGTAGTAACTGACTAGATAATGGAAATCATTACAAAATTCTTCTTATGAACATTTTAGCAAATCTTTTCTATTATATTCAGTTGCATTGCATAAGGGGAAATAATATGCGAAGATAATGTTTTTTTATTATACTGAAGGTAAGGTAAAACGAAAAAGCAAATGATGTTTCTTTAATTACTTTTTTCATATTTTTCATTACTTCTCTCATGCTTGTTTTCATTATTTCTTTTTCATTTAGTTCCAGGTGCGCCTCCGAGAAACATTCATGTTGTTGCCACCGACTCCAAAACAATACATGTGTCCTGGGAGGTAAGATATATGCAAAATTCCGACAATAGTGGAACTCTAATTATAAGCGCATTTGGGTGGAAAAAAGGAATATCGGGTACTGTCTTTTCACCGCGGGACGTATATGAATTATAGAAACACACTCGAGGAAATTGTTTCACCGTCCATTGCATTTCATTTTAGAAAATGTTATATAGTTAACAAAATTATTCCTATTTGAATATTTGTAACATATTACGCAATGATGTTATTTTTTATATTCCTTAAAGGAGAATTTGTTTTTATTTCTTCTAGAATAAAAAAAAAAAGTTTTTATTCGCGTAGAACTTAGAACCCAAACAGTTATTTTTTTTTTTTTTCCTAAACTATAAAAGTAATTTTTCCCTTTACCCTTTATGTACAGAGTAGCGCAAAAGTACCTTCACGATTTTAACTTGAAAAAAAAAAGGTACATGAAAAGTTAAGTAAATTTGTATTTTTAAATTCATAACACAAAGTGTGTTTCTTGAAGTTTTTATTTACGAAAAATGTTGTCTAACAAATGATGTCCCCTTTCGCGATGAAAAATTATAAGCTGTTTTTAGCACATCTTCCATCTTCGCAGGCTTTCTGTCTTCCTCGCGTCTACTACTCATCTTGTCTCCTTGTCTCTTTAGATTTGGCCACAAGTTGCAATATCGTGAGGTTAGAAGGAGCATATCTTACATTAAAATATAAATATCGTCGAAAGTTTCTCTGAATAAAACTAAACTAACTTCTTCCGTTTAAAAAAAAAAAAAAAAAAAAATACTACCTTCATTCTTTCTGCAGACATGCATCGCTCCATATAGAAATTCAAAAGTATTTTATTTTAACCTAAACAGAGAAACTTAATAAATACTAATTCCACAAAGAACTATTGAAATTAAAAAACGTGAAGGTATTTTTGTTCCACCGTCTATACAAGCTATTTAATTTCAGAAATGCCTAAGCTAATTAAAAACACTCAGCATACATTCATCTTAATTTATTTAAAATATTTTGACATATTTAATGGAATTTATTAACTTTGTATATTACTTGAATTAAACAAAAATAAATAAGAAACTAAATTTTTAAAAATGCAATTTTAAAGCCTAAAAATAAAGAACAAGTGATTCATATAGCTTGAAATCCATATATCTGAAATGCAAATAACTAGAGTTCTACTGCAATTCGATGTGAATTTTTAAAATTTATATTGAAATTTAAAATAATAAATTTGTATCTAATTACAGTTAATCTTGTGCTATTAATTTCTTTTATTTATATTTATCTTTTGAGTTATGTTAAAAATACAAATTTATGTAGTATAATTATATATATAAATTAAAGTTGTAAATTATTACTATTCTTATATGTACATTGGTAATAAAGAATTTTGTTAAATAATACCTTTATATAATTTGTGGGAATTAATAATAAGATTTCAATTACATTCATCACTTAAATTATCATTTATATTACTTTTCACATGTATTAGCAAATTCTGATCCAAGTTATTGCAGGACTGTTAGAACTAACGATATGCTTACAAATTGTTGAATTCTAAAAATGCCAGGGCTCTATTTGACCACTAAGTTATTTTTTTAAGTCCACTTTTTTTTTTTTTTTTACTTACAAGATGGCTTTTCTGTAATAAGAATGACAAAGTGTATCCTTTTACAGAAAATTCTGAATTGACTACTGTAGTTTTCAGTGTATAATATCTATTCTCGCCACTTTGTCGATAGTGTTGACTGAGGCATAATGTATGCCTTTTTGCGTTGTTTCAGCAGATCTTTCAGCTTCTATCACGCTTATAATAGAATTTTGATCTACTACTCAAATTATGCCAAAGTGCTAGGTTCCATAAAACCCGCACATACTTTTTAAAAAATTAGCTCTCAAAATTTTAGCTCCTCAATGTTAATTGAATTTGATATATATTAATTAATATCTCTTTTTACAATAACACGCCGAATAAATACTAATTCAGACGTCAAACAACAAAAATCAGCGTTATATTTACAAAATTTTCACAGGACTAGTTTCGATGGTTTTACCGAACCACCATCTTCAGCTGCAAAACCGCAAATGTACAAGATAGGAAATAATGATTAGATAAGATAAGAAAGCCTGGACAATAATAAGCAAGTGGCGCCATCTGTTGGTGAAACCAAAACTAAAACATAATTTCTTTAAAGGCCGAAGGCAAATTTGGATTAGAATTAGGATCGTTAACTAGAACAGAAAAATTTTTGTGAATGTGAAATGCCTCTAGAAAATCCAGTTCTCCAATGGAAGAAGTTTTTTGATTAATTTTGGCAGCAGAAAAATTTAAAATGTGATTTTCGGACCAACAATATTGAGCAACAGAAGACTTCTGTGTTTCCTTTTTTCTAACATATGCCTCATGTTCCTTGATGTGAAATTTTAAGGCTCTCTTAGTTTGGCAAATGTAAATTAAACCACACTGGCAAGGAATCCTATAAATACCCCATCATCTACATTAAGATGATATTACATATTTTATATGTTATATTACAAAACGTTTTCCGAAAAATTTATAAAGAATATTTTAAAATACAAATTTAAAAGCTAAATCATAAAACAATGTGTGATTATATTTAGATTAAGCCTAAATTTCGAATTCTGGAAGAAAGAATCGTGTATGTTTAATAAAAAAAGAGATACTAATTCAGAAGTCAAACAACAAAAATTCCGGATATGAATTCCCATTCCGGATATGAATCGAAGATCATTCCGGATATCAAGGACCCCATTCCGGATATCAAGGACCCCATTCCGGATATGAATTCCTGGGGTATTTATAGGATTCCTTGCCAGTGTGGTTTAATTTACATTGGCCAAACTAAGAGAGCCTTTTAAAATTTCGCTTCAAGGAACATGATTCATATGTTAGAAAAAAGGAAACACAGAAGTCTTCTGTTGCTCAACATTGTTGGTCCGAAAATCACATTTTCAATTTTTCTGCTGCCAATATTATTCAAAAAACTTCTTCCATTGGAGAACTGGATTTTCTAGAGGCATTTCACATTCATAAAAATATTTCTGTTCTAGTTAACGATCCTAATTCCAATCCAAATTTGCCTTCGGCCTTTAAAGAAATTATGTTTTAGTTCTGGTTTCACCAACAGATGGCGCCACTTGCTTATTCTTGTCCAGGCTTTCTTATTTTATCTAATCATTACTTCCTATCTTGTTCATTTGCGGTTTTGGAGCTGAAGATGGTGGTTCGGTAAAACCATCGAAACTAGTCCTGTGAAAATTTTGTAAATATAACGCTGAATTTTGTTGTTTGACTTCTGAATTAGTATCTCTTTTTTTATTAAACATACTCGATTCTTTATTCCAGAATTCGAAATTTAGGCTTAATCTAAATATAATCACACATTGTTTTATGATTTATCTTTTTAATTTGTATTTTAAAATATTCTTTATAAATTTTTCGGAAAACGTTTTGTAATATAACATATAAAATTTGTAATATCATCTTAATGTAGATGTACTCTAGGCACACCTGTAAAAAATCAGACTTTTTCTTTCTGCATAGTGGCCCGTTTTGAAATTTGGAATATATGTAGTAAGTTATAATAACGCCAAATGTGGTTTACGCACTTTGTTATTGTTAAAATTATTTGAAAATGAAAGATGACATTTTCCCGCTAGTTTACAATGAAAGAATAGGAAAGCAAAATAGGTTGTTATAAATTAAGAATTTCGCCAAGTGAATTATTCTTCCCGCAAACTGAAAAAAGAATGCGTCAAAATAAATTTTTGAATTTCTCCATAAATTTCGCACCACATTTTACAAAATTTAATATTTAGGTATAATTTGAGTCGTAGAATCGAAATGTGAAAACAAATTGACATGTCATTGCAGAAGAAGTCAGTTTTTTGTCAGAATGCCTATATTAGAACAATGTTGTATATAAGTGTAATATAATTCCTAAGTTTCGCTTTCGAGACATGGAAAATGCAATTTGAATTTCGTCAATCGGCCCAGTAGAACGGGAGATATAGAATTGTCTCACATTTTTTTTTCGCAGTGTACATATGACTCAAATGTATGTTATTCTAAACTAAATGTGAATTTCGGGCATTCTGTGTACTCAATTAAAGCTCGCCTTTGCTTTAATTGAAACGTAATAATAAACTGCGACATAGTGCTAATCAAAGAACTTGAATTAAACAAGGAACACTCACATTGCCTCGCAGATAGGGAAATACTCGTCCATACTCTCACGCTGTGGGAGAAAAGGAAGGAAAAGCCAATGGCACACACATTTCATCTCTTCTAATATAAGATCTATAAATAGGATCTCCAGTCTGTTCCACTGAGGTAGCTCTCGGCGTTAGCATCTGGGAAGATGACCATCCAGGTCCCGCGAATCCCTGTTGATGTGTTACCCTCTGTTACTCTGTCTTCTCTGTGTTACAAATTTCACAAGTATACTGGTCTACATAGCAACGTCAAAAATGCCTTACATTTCGTTTTTCATCTCCCATTATCATCTCTTAGGTTGCGAAAGATTGATTTACATGCTTTATTTTACACGCTCATGACGTGTGTTTCTCATCACTCATTTCGCACCGCACTTTACATTTTTCACGAGAGTTTCGCAATTCACATTTTCTATACACTGGTCTGGAACAGCCTTTAGTTACGTACCTGCAATTCCCTTTAAAGATCTAGCATACAATGTACACGAGGTTTCCCCAAATCGGGGTTATTTGAAGTGCTTGTAATAGTGAGATGAAATTCATGCTGACTTAGGCACAAAACAAAGTATCAAAGTATCGTTTGCGTTTGACTGTTGCCCTGGCGGGCACGTTCTTCAGATCTTCTCACCCACTGAAAATAGTTGGGCATCGGTTATTGAGAGACTGGCACTCCACCACTCTCTAGTTCCTTCAATTGGTGAAGTCCTGCGTTGAGCTGAAGCCACATGGAATGCAGTACCCATATGTGTGATCCACCAGTTCAACTCGATTTCCAGCGGTATTACAGTCATTATTACTGGCAGTTTGACCATTCTGTGTACTGAATTATGTGCTGCACAATATTGTACTATGCATTATGAACCCCTTCTAAGTTTAATCATATCTTTCCTCCATTATACTGCATATGTATAACAAAAACATTCTGCAGTTTGCCTTTCTTTCTTGACAGCAGTTTGAAATGTCGGCAGTGTAGTATCCAGACGGTCCGCGGTCGCTGCCAAAAGTTTCTCTCGACATTAAGTATTTGTTTCTTATACAGATCAATTAATTTGCATCCTAGTGTGAGCCGACAAAAGTAGAAATGATCACAAAAACAAAACTTTTGATGTCGACATCATATGATTCCTTGTACGGCCTATTAAATTATGGACATTTTGTGCCGCGCTTGATTTAAATTTATTTCTTTAAATTATTCTAACTTAACAGACAGTATTCTAACTCTCTCAAGGGAAGTTGAAAGTGACATAAAATATTTCAAATTTCGAAATGAAATATCCCGGTAAATTTTTGTCGAACTGGAGTCAAAATAATAATTTTAGTTTCTTATAACGAGTATAAAGTCTTGAAAAAATATGCGTTTAGAAACCGGCAGGCCGCAATGTTAGATTTCTTTATTTGTCAAAAATTATTTTTTTAAATTTGACATTGTCAAAATATGAATATCTTTGCCACACTTCTGTAACTGGAAGTATAAGAGTACAACCAGCGAGTGCAAAAATAAAGGTCGGGTAAAGGTTTTTGAGCATGGTAAAGGATTCATGGTTTATATATATATATATATATTGACCCTGCATATTTCAATAAAAAATTGCGGTCTACAAACAGATGTTATATAATTTCCATATACAAAATTTCAAAGTTCTACGGCTAGTTGTTTTTCAGTTATGCGAGATATATACACATACATACCTACATACATACGTACGTAGAGACGTCTTAAAAAAACTCTTTTGAACCATGTTACAATCCGTTTTCAAAAAACCGTCTTTTATTCTATCGGTATGTATGCAAAAAAATTCATGCTAGATTTCATGTAAAAAATATTGTCCCTATTTATTCAGGAACGGTCAAAATATACATTTCTGTTGAAATAGGATACTTGAATTTTTTAAACGCAATATTTGCTAATTGCAATATAATACTTGTTAATTCTATTCAATACTTGCTAATTTACTTTTATTCGTACACAGAAACAAAAATTATAAAATACCTCGTTAGAAAGCATGAGGTCATAAATGTTAATATGTATTCCGATTAATTTGTATACATACAAAGTAATTACAGCCAGATAATTACACATCTTAAAGTAATGTAAGTCGCTGAAGTGTTCATGCATGAGATTTTTTCTGCTAGAATTATAATAATTTCATGAATTTAAAACAAAATTACGTTCTATTAATTGAATACTCATTACTTTCAGCAATATAATACAAATATAGTTATATTATTGTAATTCTTGCTAATCTATTGCACAATATCTGACAGCCTCCAATGAAAAACCTGCATCATGGTACCATTCGGGGCTATTACATTGGTTACAAGACTTCTGGTACCAGTGACCCTTTTATCTACAAGACAGTGGAAGTAAAAGAAGGCCAAGACAGGAGCTGTGACATCACGCAACTGCGCCCAGCCACTAAGTATAGCATAGTAGTGCAAGCCTTCAACGACAAAGGAGCAGGACCCTTATCGGACGAAGTGACAGTCCGCACGCTTGAGTTCGGTGCGTGAACCGTGAGTAGTTGACTCTGTTTGGTATTTCACACCTTTTCCTTCATATTTTTACTTATCAGTTATTCATAAACAAAACTTACCTTCAAGCGGAAAGTATTTTGATCATTGCAAAGATATATTGGTACGAATTGTGTATCATGTAACATGAACTGCCTCAGGAAATGCGAAGCTTGTCAGAAAAATAAGATTATATGGGCATATGTATTTAACACAGAGGTAAATGGCTATCTTTCTAAGTTGGTGAGATACCGCCAAATTGGCAGTTTTCGCAACTACATTTCGTAGCCAAATTTGGTAGGAAATCACCAAAAATTGCCAAACATTTTGGTTTTGTCACTATATAACTGTAATCGGCACTATAATTAAACAACTGTAACTGATCCCTGTATGTAACAGTTGTAGAGACATTAGGTATTTTTTTAAGCAGGAGTGATGAAAAATTAGCATCGCCTTCGTCGGGAATCGAACCACGGACCTCTGGAATACCGGCCCTGTGTGCAAACCACTATACCACGAATGCACGCTAAGAAAGCGGGAGAAATACCTTATACAAAAGACAGACAAATACCTTATACACGCAAGAGGCAGGTTCCAGTAACAGTACCTGTCTCTTGCTTGTAACATTATGTTTTCCAATAATTTCGAGAAATGGAAGGAATTGAAAATTTCTCTGCGGTCTGAGATTAACTAGCAATCTCAGACCAGGTCTGAGATTAACTAGCAATCTTAAGTTTTTAGTTAAGAGATTCACGTAGGTGTTTCGGTCTTTAGATGCGCTTTGCATCGCTTTGTGTTTAGAGTTATCAGTAGTTTTAAGTAAAATCTACCTAATTGTGCTCTGTCATAATGAGAAGAGCTATAAGAGTACTTTTTTGGAAAGGTCCTGATCTGTAAAATGCTTCTTTTTGAAAAATAAATTTCATCAAGCTATCATCGATTCTCTGTGATTCAATCGATTGCGAATCCGTAAGCACGCAACAGTATATTAAAAAATTACCTTATTGGAAAAGTCTTTAATAAAATCACTTGCTATTATTTTAGTTACATTATGTTAGTCAGAAGTGATGATACGATAACTTTTCTACGATATGGTTATAATGTTCGTTCGAGTCAGAAAATTGCATCAATGAAACTGAAATATTATACTAATTTACAAATAATAAAATTTCAACAAATAAAATCGACTATAATTAGGCTACTTTTTGCAGTTGAAGATAAAAACATTGGCTTGCAAGTGCAGATGATAATGTAACAATGGATGTAGAAGGTTCCTATTTAAGTAGTAGTTCATTGTCAAAATCATTAGATGGTGTGGTGTATTTAATTATGGCAAAGCACACTAGGGCTATCTGCCTAAGAGGAGGGATGCCTTTCGTGGAGGACTTTCTAAGGGAAACTGGCTCGTATACACGTTACACATGGGGAAAACCACGAAAACACCCATGCAGCCAGCCCGTTCGCGGGATTCGAACCTCGGACCGAACTACCAGTGTTCAGCGACTTTACCGCTCGGCCGCTCAAAATCATTAGAAACTTTCTCATAAGGTTGGCGCAAGTGCAACAGAATGCATTTGTTGACGGTTTTGTGGATGGCAGCTATTTGCATGCTCTGTAACGTTCCTGTCATCTCACTTCTTAGCTTAGGTTTCTTCGACTTGTGTAATATAATGTTGTTATAAAGCTGAATATTTTTGGTATTATATAAAATCAATCTAAATTTTTTAACTGGATAGATTATGTGAATTATTATTTTAAATATAAAACAATATAATGCACGGTTATTTTAATTAATTTTGCAAACGCAATATGGTATTAATCATTTCATTATTACAAACAAAGTAACCTGAGCAAATCTGTCCTTCATTTTTTTATCAAATCACTCAATTTCACTCAAAACTTCAATGATGGGAGAGGAAAATATTTCTCTGAGCTGATATGTTTGTTAAGAAATCCATTTAATCCTTCCAAATATACTGAAATATATACTGCAACAATTTTCATTAATTATTTTATTACACACGACTAATCAAAATAATGCTAAGGCGAAAACTGAAATATATTTCTCCTCTTGCTAAGATTTAACACGATATTGTATAATTATAAGTCCAGTACTTTTTACTCTTTTGAAATACACAAAAGTACTATTAAGTTACACAATAATTGAAACATTTTAAATGTTAGTACGTTCATGTTTTGCTTGCAAAATTCAACTTAATTTATTCAACTGTCTGAAAACAGAGTTTGAGATATTTATTGCAAATAGAAAACATTACTACAAAAAAGTCTTATTTTGCTTTAATGGTATAAAACACAATTAAAATAATTTCATAAAGCACTTACTTTCCAAAATAAGTGCTGACATCGGTGTTTCGAAACATTATAAGCAAAGCGCGACGTGTCTATGAGCTGCGGCAACTAACCTATCCGAATGGGCAAACCATTCGGACGAGTAATTAATTTTTGGTCATGGTTCACTACCAATGCAACGTTCGCATCTCAAGATTCAAAATATGTATTTAGGTGCAACAGTCATATTTGCAGCTTAACAAATATGATAGAAATTAAATGTCTAGTATTTTGGTACAAAATGAACTTTTTTTGTATAATTAGATGTTCATTTCTTAGCTTTAGATATATCCAGAAAATTTGATAAATCAAAAGTGTTCAGAAATTTTAAATTTTAATTAGCATTTGTATTTTATATGTTCAGCTTTTCTGAAGAGATTATTTATATTCAAGAGAAGATTACTGGAGATGATACTTATCATAATACAAAAAGGCGCGCATAAATAATTTAAAGATAACAGTAACACATATATTTTGTAGAGCACGGAAAGGGTCTTAAACTGTTGAAGGTTCTGCTGCTATTTGTCTTTATTCCTTCATTCAGCTTAATTTAATTTTTGAGAATTTTCTGCCTTTAAGCATTTCTCAGAAGTTATTTGAAACAATATGGACAGCACATACGAACTATTAAATTACACACACTTTTTGCTGCATTTCACTTAAATTTATTTCCTTTAATGTATTAGATATATTTTGCATTTAATCAATTCATTTCGTACTTCGCAGCAAGGCAAAAAACACATAAAAACTCAAACAAAAAACTGTAAAATGCAGGAAAATGTCAAACACCAAATATAGTTAAAAACAGTTTTAAAAAAATGTACAATTAGAATTAGAATTTCTACTCAAAAACAAGTAATTCGGCCAGCAGGCGGAATGAGAGATATTTTCAGTTACTTTTGTGCACTTTCTTAAGTGGGTGGCAAAAAAACATTGAAGTTGATGCAGAAAATGACTTTAATTCTCTATTCTACTAATAGCTTCAAACGTAAATACATGGCGGCTTCTTAAGCTTAGTAGCACTTGAACAATTTTTAAAGTATTGATAATTCGGAAACTAAAGCATGAAAATTACTAAAGGAATAAAAGCCCTAAGCCGAACATAAGAACAAAATAATTCAATCACTTTTTAAACCACAAAAATACACAATTTACCAACATTCAAGAATAAAAATCTGTGCTCACAGAGGCGGGTAACAGAGTGGGTATGTATATATATATATGTAAATAGTAATCGAAACAGAAATTGTAAAGCTAACAAGTAATGAGACGTAAGGCCTATTTGGTCTTAAAATTTTTTGCGCATAATGCTGCAATATATGTATATAGAGGAAGTATTAGAAAAACGTGTGCGCTATTGCTATTGCACAAGTATTAGAAAACAGCTATTGCGCAAGTATTAGAAACAGCTATTGCGCAAGTAAGAAACAGCTATTGCGCAAGTATTAGAAAAACGTGTTTTCGAACTAATTGTATGTATTTATATATGTATGTATATATATATAGCAATACTTAGTTCGAAAGTTACATGCAACTTCATAATCGGTTCTGATAATAACATGTTGGACGTTACCTGAAAAAGAAGAATAAGCAAGAAGAATAAAGAGCATAAACAAACTGCTATTAATTAAACACGCGAAGTCCACCATTCATAAACTGCAAAAAAATATGACTTTTTTGCGTATAGACAGCCAACGATATTAACTAAGTTTAGGTCAGTCATAGATACCCAACTCTTTTCTTGCATTTACAGAAATGTCTTCATCATCAACTCCCTTACATTTTTCTCTATAATATACAGCACATAGAACACTTAAGAAATATGTGATGATAAATAACGTAAAGATAAGTGTTATACTAAAAATATTAACAAGAGTGCTTTAATAGAAAAAGATTAATTAGGCTTGTGTTTCAAAATTTTCTGTATTGTTATTATTTTTTATTTAACAAAAATAAAGTTTTCAGAAATAAAAATCACACTTTCTAATCTAAGAAAAGTTCGATTCTGGTTAATGTTATGTCTGTACTTAATATGTTAATTAAGTTAATATATATATATATATATATATGACCTAAAATTACGTAAGTAAATTCTAAAATCACTTCATTCAGAAATACTCAATCTGTTTCTTGTTTACCGGACTAAACTGTTGATTTGATAAAATTCTGCTTTCACTGATTGAATAGAAAAGAAAGTTGATATTGTTGGTTCGGTAAGAGCTTCTATTTTGGGATATTTCTTTCGCTTAACTTTAAATTTAAAAACTTAATGTATTCATGTATTTTGAATAAAACTTGTGCTTGAACATCTTCCTTCAATGCAATTGAGTCTTTTTGCATTGTATTATCAAGATTATGTATATCGCAGTTATGAGGGTTTATGAGCCATCCTTGCACATTCAAATTTCAATGCTTTGGAAGATAACATTAAAATCTTTTTTTGATTTTACGAATGGCTTATATTGTGTACATTTTTTTCTGCTGATCAGCAGCTTCCACAATAGACGTGGTAATACGATGCAAAGGTTCTTCCTGATATGGCGGGCGGGGGATAGTAGCAATAAGTTTTAGTATTCTTGTAAAATATGTACGATACACTTACATACTTGTCGGCGTACTTTCCATTTGACCTGAAGTTGTCGT